AACGGACGAGAATTAGATCTTATTTTTGACTATGGAGTCCTACAGCTCTAATGAAACCTTCTATATGGTTTTTTTTTACATTATTGTGGTTGGTTTTCGTTTTTTAAAAAGTACTCTAAACTGTATAAATAATGTAAGATTAAATTGAATTTATTAGCCAATTCTGCCTATGAACCTACCCTAAGTTAGGGTAGGTAGGTACCGAATTGTTAGGTGCCGTAGACTTACTCCAAATTTATGCGACGAAAGCTACGGGCACAACATTTCACATGACTTATCGGCACAACATCAGCCTGAATTAGGGTTAGAGCTGACGTTAAGGTAAGTGTATTTTAGTAATGCCGGTCATTGTTGTGCCATAAGCACATAATCACGTGAAATGTTGTGCCCGCAAAAACATTACCAGAGATGTCACCTATAATATTATATAATCATGTGAATGTTGATCATTGGGTTAACCATCTCTAAAAACAACATACCAATACATTCCAGTTGATTCCGATTTCGATTTTCCCAGAATAAGTGCCTTTATTAAGGTTACTTCATCTGGATCCAGTTCTAAAGAATCTTTCGATTCTCTCAGTTCTTTAATAATATCATCCAGCATCATTACGGATCCATCTTCATGTTTCCATTTTCTATTGGGACTATTATATTATATAAAAAAATTATTTTTGTGTATTCGAATGCGAAGCAATCATTAAACTATGATTATTTTTCTCGTACATTAATCTTGGCACAACTAATTGATCGAACACGTGACTAAATGGTCCATGCCCTATTACAGTTCACATAATATAATTAAATATTTTAAGCCGTTATTCAGTTATAAATCAAATAAATATTAGCTTACCCAAATCGTGGCATAAAGCTGCCAAAGTCACACATTTTAAATCACTTTGCGCAATTACTGCATCTTCCGCTTTTCCAGCGCCCTTTTGCTGTAGTATTTTTGTAAATGTCTGAGCAAGGTACGCAGTTCCTAAAATGACAAGTGTTACTGCATCATCCATTAAGTTGTGTAGGACAAAATGAGTAAAATATTTATCATTTAAATACCTATACTATGTTCGAAGCGATTATGACTTGCACCAGGATAAACAAAATAGGTAGAACCTAATTGTTTTATTTCTTTCAATCTTTGAAATTGCGGTGTATCAATAAATTTAATTGCCCAATCATCAAATTCCATATACCCCTATTAAAACATAAGACAATTAAAAAATATAAAGAATTCTTTTATTGATTTGCATTTACTTGAGCGTTCTTAAATTATTCAATATAACAAACGAAATTTTACATGGATAGGATCGTTTATAATTTTCTTTTGAGAATTATCAGATTTCATTTTTAATGGTTATTTCTTCAAAAATTCTTTAACATTAACATTTTAATAAATTTTAAAATCACACAAAAAATTTAATAAGAAAATTTAAATGAAAATCTATTAATCCATATATGTGTATATGAGTGACACCAAAAGTAAACCAAACCTCCCATGACGCCAAGGAACCTAAGACTTTCAGGTTTATTATTATTTATTTACCGGTTCAATTCTAATTAGGAATTAAATTTATGTAACGTTACATACATATCATATGAAAATCAAGTTATGGGACATATGTCCCGTATTTGATTTCCATATGTCTCTGATTAGTGTAAACAATAAATAATAAACATAAAAGTCTGGAGTCTGGTTTCCCTTGGTGTTACTCATATGATATCGTAAGTCAGCTTACATATCACTAGTGTTACGGGCCTAAACCCTTTACTGAAGTCCGATTTTGAGTTTCGGTTTCACCCAAAATCCGAAACTAGGCGAAACTATAGATATGCCATTTATATGATATCTGAATTTTTTTCGCGTACAGTACGTACAGTACGTATAGTTGTATAATGTGTATAGCATACGTAATACACATAATAGACGTGGCATTTATAAATCAGCTATATGCAACATTGTGCAAGGAACAATTTTTGTTAGAATGCGAAAGACAGTTTCATAATCAAAATTCTGATATAGGGATACTCTAATGATTTGTTCTAGAATATTCTAAACATTTTTTTGCGTACTGTACCGTACGCGGCACATCACTAGGCGAAACGTCCGAAACTAGGCGAAACATCCGAAACTGGGAGAAACGTCCGAAATTTGGCGAAATGTCCGAAATTCCGAAAGTCCAAAACTGGGCGAAACGTCCAAGAAAAATGGTGATGGCGCAAAAATTTGGAGGTCCCGTGACTAATTAAGCAACAATGATATTCTAAAGATAAAGTTTGCATTAATACAAAGTAGAAAGGATATAAGTTTTGTGCCGAAATCTTTTATTTAATAATGAAAATATAATCTCCCTTGTGAATTTGTGAGATTTTTTGAGATCTCATGATTTTTTTTCTTTTTACTTCGCATTTGTATGTTACACATTGATTTTACAATCGGATTGGATAAGAATCATGAGATCACCAAATTTTTGCGCTATCTCTATTTCGCTCCTGAAAGTGGGCAAAACCTATTCTACCTATAGAGAATTGAAAGTGGGTAATAAAGAATTTTATTAATTAGATCATTTTTTATTTTTATTTTTTTTTAAATATTAATGATGAGATTATGTCTTTAACTTTATTGAAATTCAATTAAAGTTTTTACAAAGAAAAGCTTGCTTTTAAAGTACATATAAAGAATAAAGATTCTGACATATAATCTGTGATCAAAACTTACAAAAGTAACCAAAGCTCATTTAGATTTGAGAGTTAGTAATAATATAGAAGAAAAAATATGATATTTAATCTATTAGATCAGCATTGTTAGCTAGAAATACTGAAAGACTACTGAAACTTTACTAAAAGCAAAATCAATAGTATTACCAAAACTTTTACTATTAAAAATTATCACTAAAAGGTTAGAAATTTCTACTGAAAACTAAAATTTACAATATTGCATTAAATAGTCTAAAGATCAATTTTAGAAAATAGAAGTAGACTAGAAGAAGAATTATAAATTAAGTTTATAAAAGATGTAATTTGAAATATATAGAATGTGAAATACAATATAAGATTCATATTTGTTTATATAATTATTGTTTTAAATAAAGAAAAAATTTAATTGAAAGAAAAGTAACTGTATGTTAAAGAATAAAAATATTATAAATAATAGAAATAAAGTTAATAAAAACTAAACCAGATAAAGTAAAAATAAAAGATGATATATAAGAAAGTTGTGCAGTTTAAAACTGTTAAGTATAAGAATTTTTTAATATAAATTAGAAACAAAATTAGTAAATATGTTAAGAGCATCTGCATTTAAGATGCAATTAAAAAAATTGGAGATTAAGTAATAAATTGTTTAAGTAGAAGGACAAAAAGTTTAGTATAATGAAGAACTAGTTTAATTATATTAGCAGAGAGAAAAAGTAACAGAGATTACATTTGTGAAAAGTATAAGAGATAAATAGTTTATCTAAAAGAATTTTAACATAAAACTAAAAGAATAGAAACTGTAACCAAAGTTAAAAAATTTTGATTATTATTAATATAAAGCCAACACAGATCGAATAAATAAATAAAGGATAAATAATAAGTAAATAATAGAAAAAAAATCTGCCATTATTCTACTCTATATCTGCTAAATAATGACAGCATAACAGTAGCATAATAGCAAAATAATAGTAAAATAATAGAAAGTTTGTTAATATAAATAACATAATAATAATATAATAGCAAAATAATAGAACAGTTCTATTATTTTGTTATTATGTTACTATTATATTACTTATATTGACAAATCTTCTGTTATTTTACTATTATTCTGTTGTTATGCTGCTGTTATACTGCCATTATTTGGCAGATATAGGGTAGAATAATGGCAGATTTTTTTCTGTTATTTACTTATTATTTACTTTTTATTTATTTATTTAATTTATGCAAATGGCTTTTTAGTTAATATTAGATACAATAATAGACTATTGTTGAAAATAATATTAGAATGTTCAAAGTATTATGATATAAGCTTAACAAATAGTATAAGTAAAATATCAAATAAGAATTTCAATAGAAAATTAGTCAATAAATAAAGTATAAGCAAAGTTATAAGAGTTATTAGTTAAAAAAATTAAAAAAAAATAGTATTTGGTAACTACAAGTAAGCTGGTCAGCAAGATTATTAAATTGAAGAGATGTGGTAACCTAGTTAAATAGATAGATTGTCAACCTCACAAGTAGCAAATCTAAAGTTCAAATCCCAATGACAATAAAAATTTGCAATTTTTTCTATATTACAGTTAACTGTCTTTTGTGATTAGTTAGAATTAGATATTTGTGATCTATGTTATATTAGCATAACTGAAAGATCTAGGCACTTGTATAATATTGTATAAAGAAACACAAACTAGTGCTAGGCAGTATGAATCTAAGATAAGTTCTTAGGCCATATAAATCACAAAAACCAGATAAGATGAAAGCTTACTTGAAAAATTCAAATAAAGAGATAATCTAAACTTTTGACAATGTTATTATAAAAACTAGACCTATAAAATGAAGCTAGAACTTATAAAACTAGGCAAATATGTTGGTCTTTGAGAAGAAATCAGATGAACCAACCAGGCCACTAAAATTTCCAAATTTCAGAGAAAAAGTATACATGTTAGCAAACATATAAACCAGAGGTGTATGGTTATAATTTACCTTTTTGGACTATTTGGAATAACAGCTTGGTGGAACTTGAATTGAATATCAAAATAGTAGGAATATGTTGTAAAGTCAATACTAGAGTTAAGATGAACTTTACAAGAGCATAACAATTTAATGATATATTCTAACTGCCAGTGTTGGTCTTAGATATAGTAATACTAGATCAGTTGTAAGAATGAAATACAAAAGATTTTAAAAAGTTTAGTACAAGATTAAAGGTTCCAAAGAACTGCTTTAAAGACTTTGTAGCCATAATATATTTTTACTAATATTGGCCAAGATTATTGATAGACAAAGGTAAGTGAATAAATATGAAAACTAGAATAGTTAAATAGAGAATCTACAAGCAGATTTCAGATATGGCAGCTAGTGTAAAACCTTCAGACAGACTATTTAAATTAGACAATAACTAAAGTTATAAAAATGACTAGTTTTATACTTTTTTCATGATTGCCCTCTGTGGCTATAATGCAACTATTAGCCAAATATACTATTAATAAAATTTTAGATTACAAGTATTCATCTTAATATTTTTTTAAAAAAAAGATTATTAAATTAATTATCTTAATATACAATAACTTTGTAAAAAATAAACTAAATATTATATAAATTAATAAAGTTGATAAGAGTTTGCCAAATAAAGAAGTATGAAATATGAATATGAGAGAGTTTATATACTAATAAGCAGATACTGTAATATTTGAAGATTACAGATTGTAAGTCAATAAAGATATAAACAATCCAGTTTCTAGAAACAGTAATAATTGCTAAAAGAATATATAAATTTTAGTTTTAAAGAAGCATGTTTAGAGTTTAACTTATGTTTAAAATGAGTAAGTAGTTACAAAGTTATCAACTTAAATCCAGTTTATGCCTATAAAGCATTAAGAGGTACCAAACTCAATAACAGAACTGTCAATATAAAATAAAATAATAATTAGGTTATAATTAGAGTTAGTAATAGACTGTAAACTGTCAATAAATTTGTCTAACTGAAAGATGTAAAGTAATTGTTATGAGTTGATTGTTAATGAAGTAGAAGATAAAATAGATAAAAAATGTTAAATAGCTACAAAGTATGCAATATCAAAGAAGTTGGTATGTAAATTAAGAGTTTTGTTATAGTTAATACAATAAATTAGTTTAGTAATTAGATTTGTAGAAATAAAGATAGTACATTGTTAGTAATTATATTGAAATTAAGATAGCATCTAGGTTATATAGTAGTAATAGAAAAAGAAATAAGATAAAGGTTAGATAACTATAATTAAAATAAGCAATATGAGAAGTGATAAAAGTAAGGTCTGTATGGCTGTTATAATTTTTGATTTTGTCAACAATAATTTGATTGTTAAGAACAGTAAATAACTAGAGTTTGATATTAAAGTTAAAGTGACCAGTTATATAAGTAAGTAGTTTGATTAAGATAAACTAAAGTGATCATATAATGTGCATTATTAGGAATGACTTGTAGTAATATTCTCAAGAGTAGTAAATTATAGAAGTACAACATATTTAAAAAGGTTATTTAGTTTAAAAAAAATATATTACTAATGTAATAAATATAAATTATTATAGATAGTAAATTGGTCAAAAAACAAACAATCAACTCTTTCTAATAATTACTCAAACCAAATTTTCCAAAAAGCTAAACTACAAAAA